AGTAATTAAAAGTACCAGACTGGTGGAACTAACCTTCTTGGATGTTTAACAGACAAACTTTGAGGCCTATACCAATTTGGTCAGAGGGACATAAAGGACAGTTTTTGCTCCTTGCCCTCCTAGGTTGAGTAGTTCCAGGGGATTATGAGCATCTCTCAAAATGTCCTGTTCTCTTGATCAAGGAAGCCAAGGAGACCCCACCAGATGGACTTGAACCAGTGTCCAGTCTGCAAAGAGGAGGGTCAACAGAGAGGAATCATTTCCTCCATGCTTCCAAGCGAAGCCAACCATGGTCGAGCAGGACCTTTGACTTATCTTCACATAGGCGGAACTGGTAAAAGAAAGGAGCCAGGGGCTCCTCCCAAGCCCATGTGACCCCTGAGGAACAGATCCTTAAACGACCTTAAGGGTAAAAATAAATTGGTTTATCTGAGCCAACTGTATGGTCTTAAACATCCAAAAGGAAAGTATAACCAAAGATTAAAGGGGTCAATATAATTTCCTAAGCGTCCATATGTATAGCTAAAGGCTACATAACAAGCAACAATGCCAGATAGGAGATACCTTCTTTTGAGTTGTTGGCCAGGGTAGCCCAAGGGACTCCCAAATAGTAACCCAGCATAGAACTGGGAAAATGATCAGCAGACCCTAATCTTATCTAAAAGAGTATTGACAACTGATATCCGCTACAAGAGGAACAGCTGACCCTCCTGAAACAAAGACCTCTAGATAGGCTGACTAGATTCACCAGAAGGGGAAGTGGGAATTGGCTGGGATGCCGACAACACTGCCGACAGTAGCAGGGATATCAGAATATAAGGGCTCTAGTGGCGGGAGGGAGGCTATGGGAGGATGCCAAAGGGAAGTGGGTCTATAGTCAAACAAGATGGTTTGGGATGTTCTGTGTGATACACTCACACAGAAAAAAATCAACAAATTTTTTAAAATGTGTTATTTTTGAGGAGGATGCATGGAAATTTACGGCATGCTAATTAGTAGAGGTGATAAACATTACAATTGAAATCTACCTGATGACTTTATAGACATACACAGGTGCCAAGGATCCAAGTGCAACCGATTATGACTAGTAAGATATAGAGAGATTAGAAATGCATGTGCAAACATCTTAATGTCAGTTGCATTAAAAATGAATTTTTCTGTATGAAACTGTGTATTTTAATAATGAAATGGAGATCTTTTTTAAAGGCTAAAAACTCATTCAATTTTATGTCTTACAGGGCTTATACTGAGTTCAATATTGTATAACTGTATTAATTCAACTGTGAACCTAGAAACTTGCAGCCACTTGTAAAATAGGTGTAGTCTTGCTCTGGAGTGTGTTACTGAATATGTTAAATCTGTAGTGAAATGCTTCTTCTTATCATGTAGTTATTAAAAATTAAAAAAAATAAGTAAATAAGTACATTTCACATTTAAACAAATTCATTTAAAGATACAATTCACCAGGTATGATTCATTCACCCATTCAACAAATATTTATTTTAACTACTATGTGATTGGCTCTATGTGTGTGTGTATATACTTCTGTGGCATTTGGAGATTTTAGCTTATCTATTGTGTAAATTATACTTTTCTATTCATACTATATATTTTGAAATGAATATTTATAATTTCCAACTAATAATCTTTCCTTGTGTGTTCTTACTTGATCATGAGGCTGACGGGGCTAGCTTTTGGTTGCATGGTGATCAGACTTTCAATGAACATCTGCGCTTGGGTCTCACTGGAGGCATGTGTGGCCTTGGGGTGTATTCCTAAGATCTCAGGAGAGTCTTCATCAGGTAAGGACTGGATAATGTGAATGCAGTCCTTTATACTTGCAGAGCTGGGCACTGGCTGATATACCTGAAAATTTAATCACTTTGTTAGTTCGTCTGAGTAAGACATCTACTCTAGGTCATGCATGAAGACTGTACTTCTCCATGACGTTTTCTAAACAAAAGGTTCTCATTTCTAGATAGTATAAACACTTTCAAATGCAACATTTGGGACCACCATGTTATGAAGTGTATATGAAACTTTCTTATTGGGAAAAAAAAAGGGTGGGGACCATTTTAAAGACTAGGGGATTCTGACCTTCCCATTACCTTGGTAAAATATACCGGTAGGTAATGGATACAAAAAAAGCCTGAACAAATCGTTATACTTTAGTAAAACCTATGAAGGAGGCCAAGGCCAGCCTGGTCTATGCAGTGAGTTCCAGGCAACCTGGGGTGGGGCTAATGGGTGGAAATTACATCACTGTGGGGTGTCATTAAGATGTTGGGACATTAACCCTTCCCCTCTCTCTTTGCTTCCTGGGTGCCATAAGGTGAGCAGCCTCTCTTGCCACATGCTCTCATCATGATGACCTGTGCTGACACAGGCCCAAAGCAATACGGCCAAATGACTGGGCTGACACCTCTGAAAACATGAGTCCAAATAAACCTTTCCTCTTTAAAGCTGCTCACCTCAAGCATGTGTCAGAATGACAGAAACCTGCCTGATACAAATGTTAAGCATGAAGATCACTGACCAGGAAGAGAAATGCATTGTTAATCTGGTCAGGGAGGCTAATAGTAGTGACTTTCTTGATACCCTCAAGGAAAACCCTGAGGACCTAGTGAGCGCTACAGGGCACCCTAAAAAACAAAGCCACTGAAAAAAGACGTCTGTAAAGAAGCCAAGATGATGGCAGTGAGCAGGAGGAACTGGAAAGTTGGGATTGTCAGATTTTAGGATTTTAAAACAATTACATGGTTGAAATATACAGTTTCAGGATAAACATTTGTTTTGGAACAATAATGTTGCCAGTGGAACATGCTGTATGCTACGGCTCATCTTACTTACACATATTTCTCCTGACAGTATGCATACAAAAACCACACACCTACACTACTGAGAATTTTAAAGGATGTTCAAGGGTAATTTATCTTAGGGACTGACTTTAGACTCTAAACGTAATGAAAGTGTTACTTCGAACATTATTTATTAAAGGAAATGTTTTTTAAAAGCTTTAGGGTTTTTCCTGTTTTGGCAAACAGTGTAGAAAGGATATAATTTATTGTTGGTTCTTGTTACCAACAGACTACTAATACCCCTTTGGTGCCTCACACAGGAGTCTCCCTCAAACACCACGTCCAGCACTTTGTCCATCTCTCTGTATTCTCAAGGTTCTGGACACATGACGTGGTGACTTCTGATGACACCAGGCTCAGCTCAGAGCCTTGTCCTTCTTCCCATCTGTCTTCCACTTACCTCTCTAAACGTCCCCATGCTAGGGTCAGGTCTGCAGAGCTGTTTCTTCTGCCAGTAAAAATTCAACAGGATATAAGCTGGTGCCTAGCCTGCATTTCTGCCCACAAGGTGGAGGCATGCTTAGAGAAAAGCTAAGGGATGAGAAAGGACAGAGAAGGGACTTGGAATGATACACTTCAGGTGCTTGTAGCAGAGACAAAGTTCTTGAATCTCAGCTGTGCTGCACACTAGTGTGTGCTTCAAACCCTGTGGACCTCAGTTTCCCTGCCTGCAAGCTGGGTGCATGGCAGCTTCATGAATTCAGCAAGTAATATTTATGCATCGATGACATGGGACGGTTGATCTGTAAATGTTGCCTTAACTTCCTTGGGCTTTATGTATAATACCGTAGGTTGTTAGAGGACATCCATCATGTCTTTACCATTCTTTTTATTTATGGCCTGGCACATGCTTGTATTTGATAGACTAATGGATAATTAGTATTGTTGTACTATACTGAAAGTTAATGAGATACTAAAACAATAGTTGAAATTTGCTTAAATACATTTTTAAATACTGCAACAAAACTTTGTTAAAAATAATGAGAAAGCTATGTTCTTGTCTTACCTCATCACTAGAGAAACTGAAGTCGTCCTTCAGCACTTCAGGACTGCAGAATCTGTAGAAAAGAGTCTTCAGGCACCGCCTGTCCCAGTTATCGGTCACCCGGCCACCATAGGTCACTTCCCCGATCATGTAGTTCAGCGCCTGCCACTGAATGTTCGACTGACCAGTGAGGATGCCTTCCAACACCTTGATGGACACCTGGGGAAAGCCCACCAGGCTTTGTCATTTTTGTGTTTTCAGCTTAACCAACATTTCACATAAAACCAACAACTCTCAGATGTCTACTTTCTTTTTAAAACACGTAGAACCTGACCAGGTGGTATAGTCCTGTGATCTCAGAAACTCAGGAGACTGAAGCAGGAAGGTCACAGGTTCAAGGCCAGCCTGGAAACTATGCAAGACCCAATCTCAAAAAGTAAGTAGAGGACTGGGGCTACAACTCAGTGGTAGAACACTTACCTAGCATGTGCAAGGCCCACAGTTCAGTCAGTCCTCAGTATGGAAAAAAAAGAAAAAAACCAAGACTAACCAGGACTACCAAGGTGAATAAAGAATCAGGATATACATTTTTCTCCACTAGTTACTTTTGCTGCCATTGAGCAATGAACTATTTAATTATGATTGCTTCTTTAAACAGACAGAACAAGCATGGGGTACTGAGTTCGGTGACACAGGATGCAGAAGGAAGAGTGCCTTCTCTCTTCCTCCTCACCCCTCCCACACCTACCTACAGCAGCAGGTTCTTGGTGTCCTGATGAGGGTCCTGGTGTGAGTGTATACACACAGATGGGACCCGCTTCTCGCCCCTTCTGGTGCTGTCCTCTGTCCTCCAGCTCTCGCTAGCCTCCTTCCATCTCCCTTAAGGCTTCCTGTCTCTCCTGTTCCCACAGAGGCTGCTAGCTCACACACTGGTCCATGGCTGTCTCTGTCTAGCAGCCATAACCATTCATGCTTCCACTTTGTGAAAGACTTCCTGTCATGGTGCCCTCAGACCTACACCGGAGGAGATGTGAGTCTGCTGTTGCCTCTGGTCTCTGGGTTCTGCATTCAACCCAGCACACATCAAAATTATTTCAAAACAAACAAACCTCTGTACTGAACATACGCAGACATTTTCTGTGACATTATTTCCTAAAACAGTATGACAGCAAGTCACAGGGCACCTGCATTTGTATTGGGAATTATGAATAATGTAGAGATGATTTAAAGTACTAAGTGCTAATAATGTAGAGATGATTAAAATGCTAAGCCATTTTATACTATGAGAGACTTGAGCATCCTCAGACTTTGGCATCCAAGGGGGACAGGGATCCTGGAACAAACCTTGAGGATAACAAGGGACAACTGTTCCGGTGGAGCCCGTTACTTTAGTTTGAATTTCACCAAATACTGAACATCCTTTCTTTCTTATGTTCATCGTTTAGATTTGGTTTTCTGTACACTGTCTCCTATTCCTTTGGTTCGTTTTCTTTTTAATACGTGAACACTCTTTACATTATAATTATCAGTCATTTGCATTGCAAATGTATCATGTCTGTTACTTGTCTATTGGTTCTTTATCATAATTTTCCATGTAAGGGTTGTTGTAATCAAATACACTTTTTTCTTTTAGGATTCCTGGTTTCTGATTTTGGTTAGGTTATCCCCAACTCCAAGACTGTACATAAAACCTCCTGATTCATTTGTGGAGATTTGTACTGCTATATAATACATTTAACTTTTATTCTATAGTTTAATATGTAGCAAAAGATAAAGGGCCCAGTAATTTTCTTCCAGCAGGATGGCTAGCTGTGCCAGTATTATTTGCTTCAAAAAACCTTTTTACTATGTTGAAATACTACTGCATTAAATATGAAAAAGTGGACCTCATAAGAGTAGAGGGCGAAACATCATTACTAGAGGCTCAGAAGGGTTAATGGCATAAGTGGTGTAGCTGTATTGGAAGAAACTATGGCTGACAATGTTTTTTGAGGTATGTTTTCACTCTGTAGCCCAGGCTGGCCTCAGACTCATGGTAATCCTCCTGTATAAGCCTCCTAAGTGTTGGGATTACAGGCATGAGCCACCACATCTGGTGACAGTAATTTTGTATTTAAATGACACACTTGAGGTGAAGGTTATAACCAATACCCTTACGTGCTCATTACATATTGTGGGTTTTTGGAGACAGGGTTTCATAGTACAGGCTGGCTTGAATTTGTTATGTAGGTGAGGCTGACTTTGAACTCCTGTCTCAGCCACTAAGTGCTGGGATTACAGACATGGACCACCGTGTCTGGCTCTGTTCATGACATTCTATACACGTATTGGAAGATTACATTTTGTATTCTTTGCTATGTCACACTAACTTATGGTTAACTTCTTTGCTAAATTGTTGATGTCAGCATAGTGAATTTGCAGCGTATTTTGTGTCTAGTGAAGGAAGATTCCTTCAGTATCTTTCTTTTTGTGGATTTCTGCTTTTTCTTCATTGGCTCTTCTATGTCACTGTTTTTCCCAATTCTAAAATTTCTCTGAATAGGGTTCTAATCACAACTGCATAGTAGTTGATAATTACTTTTAATGACTATGTGGAAATCTTTTCCTGGAGAACAGGGGTGCGTTAATTTAGGGAAGGAGGGAACAAAGGCTGCCACTTACTAGCTGTGACTTGGGCAGACTTCTCAAGTGCTTGCTGGTTCCTTTTCCCTATCTGGGGATGAGGACAGCAGCGTATGTACCTTACAGAGTCGTCATGAGAGCTTTAAACGTTTCAAATTCTCAAGAAATGTTCTTTCTTTTCTACCCAATTTACAATGTTCTTTCCCTGGGACCCATATATTTCTTGTTGTTTGTTCCTGGGTAGTGTTTAAAAATCTGCTATGTCTTTTCTCTTTCAATTCAAGGCATTTATTTTTTAACATATTTAAAAAAATATTTTATTTTTATTTTTATTTTATGTGTACAAGTATATTACCTGCATGTATGTGAGTATACCCGTGTCATGCAATGCCACGGAGGTCAGAAGAGGGCTTCAGATTCCCCTGGAACTGGAGTTAAGGATGGTTCGTAGCCGCCATGTGGGTGCTGGGAATTGAACCCGGGTCTTCTGCAAGAGCAGTCAGTGCTCTTAGCCTCTGAGCCATCTCTCCAGCCCCTCGAGGTATTTATTGATAGAGCAAAGCCACTAATTTTTATATATTTACATTTTTTTTTGAGATAGGGTCTCTCTGTAGCCCTAGCTGTCCTGGGACTTGCTGTGTAGACCAGGCTAGACTTGATCTCACAGAGATCAGTCTGTGACAGAGTGCTGGGATTGAAGGCATGTGCTACCACACCCTGCCATATGTATACATTTTTATCTAGCCATTTTACCAACTTCTCTAGTTATTTCTAGTAAGCCTTTTTTTATTTTTGCTAGTGTATTAGGCTTTCAGGATACACAGTATATCATCAACAAGAGACAGTCTTTTTCCTTTTTATTCTTTCTACGTTAACATGTCTGCCTGCTTTTCTTTTATTTATTATTTTCATTTTATGTGTATAAGTGTATTGCCTGCATGTATGTGAGTACATCTGTGTCATGCAATGCTGTGGAGGTCAGAAGATGGTGTCAGATTCCCCTGGAACTCGAGTTAAGGGTGGTTTGTAGCCTCCATGTGGGTGCTGGGAATTGAACCCGGGTCCTCTGCAAGAGCAGTCAGTGCCCTTAACCGCTGAGCCATCTCGCCAGCCCCCTGCCTGCTTTTTCTTATCTCACTGTTTTTTATTAGAACTTCAACAATGCTGGATGCCAGGAGTGACAATGGGCAGTTTGTCTCGTACTTGATATCATTTGAAACAGTTTGAGCGTTTGGATATTTAGGGTGATAGTCACTATTATTGTTTTGGTGGTAGCTGTCATTTCCTCTCCTTAAATTCATTTCCTTATTCAAATGAATAGAAGATATTAACTATTTCTCCACTCAACTAACACATGGTCCAAGAATTTCCCCTTCGTTTACTTTGGCCATTTGAGGGGCTTTGAATAGGCTTGGACAGGAACACCCTTGTGCTCATATTCCTTGACAAATCTCCATTGTGTGGTTGCTTTATTTTATGTCTTTGGCTAATCACAGAAACAATGACTCTCTTAGGCATCTGAGCTTACAATATCTTGTAGCCTCTTTTGAAAGTAGAATACCTGATGGACACACAGACAAGACATGGAAGACTTCTTATCCAGGGTCTCACTGATATAGGCAGAATCAACATTTTTGTAGAAAATTCAAAAAACACTGCTCTAGATAGATGCGTAATCAGAAGTGCAACATTCACTCTTAGAAGCATTAGTGGGGAAATTAACTTGGGAAAAATGTTACCAGGCATATGCTACCTGTTTTCTTTAGCAGTAACCAAAATACCCTAACCAAAAAGCAGAATAGAAAGTTCTAAAATGAGGATACTAATTTGAAGACTATTAAGCTACCCACCTCCAAAGAGATGATGTAATCCCTCTGGCTTTGAGTGAGTAGGAAACACTGCTGGACACTTCCACAGTCATTTCCATGTGTCCGGCGTTGGTTGTGTTTCACTTGCATTAATTGAGTTGCACCTTATGCAGACCCTGTGGATCAGGTACTGATGTTTGCTCCCCTCCCATGCTGCTTCCTCTTACTCAAGAAAGTAACAGACTGGAGAGATGACTCCGTGGTTAAGAGCACTAGCTGCTCTTGCAGAGGACCCAGGTTCGGTTCCCAGCATCCACATGGCAGCTAACAACAGTCCATAACTCCAGTTCAAGGGGACCCGACTCCCTCTTCTGACCTCCTCAGGCACTGCACGACACAGGTGTGCTTACATACATGGGTGTGCATAACACACACACACACACACACACACACACACACACACACATAAAATAAAGATAAAATAAAAATATTGAAAACAAAGAAAGGAAGATCCTGGGATTATTTAACTTGCCCCAAAGGTGAAATACTTGCTCAGCTCTAAGTGGTGGGGCTGCAGTTTCATTCCGGGGAAGCTGACTTTAAAGTCTGTGTTTTGAATGTTCTCATTTCCTCGTTACATATGCATTTCTTTCCACCAGGTACCTAGCGCTGCGGAGGGGCACAGTAGCTCAGCTTGCATCTCACAGTTGTTCGCTACTGCTTGTCTTCCAGAGCCCACACTCACCTCCAAGTCTGAAGTGGTGAATTTATACGGGATATTCCAGCCCAGCGTTCCATAAGCCCTCCTTTCATTGATCACAGCATTGAAAAAACATAGGCTGAATATAATTTTTTTCCACCATGGCCCACAGTCAGGTTTTTCGAATATCTCTTCCGTTACCTCGCCACTCCCACCGTAGTCAAACATTTGAAGTAAATTGCTTTTCAATCCCTGGGGAGATTCCACGGCAATCTTCAAAAGAAGTGAGTGAAAATGCCAAGTGAGTACAGATGGCCACTGGGCCTAGCGTGGCCTCCGCTTACCGCACTGCTGACAGGGTGCTGGCAGCCAAGAGCCACTGGCAAGTCCACGCCTTCTGCTATTCTTTTGCCTTTTGAAAACTGTAAAAAGGATCATTGCAGAATTTCTGTAAGGTTCTAATTCATACTTCAGAGAAGTACAGCATTGGGATTAGGATTGCTACTGCTGATCGCAAGCAGTTTGGGAAAGACAGAATTTTAGAAAGGTTGTCAGTGTACTGTAGTGTAAATTTACACATCGGTGGTAGCTAAGCTGTGGGGGTAAGGGGCTACATGATCTTGGCAAGAGAGCAGATGTGGGTGTCAATCCACAGGAAGCAGGGCACATACTTAACCAACAAAAGTATCCGGTCATCACTCATATTAAAAGGGAGAGTGGGAAGGGGTGTGCCACTGAATGCTGACTGCCTTGAGAATCCATGTGTCTGACTTTTTCACTGGGGTAGTGAAATGACTAAATTGGTAGGGACAGATCAACTAGGGGGCTTCTGTGGTAGTGTGGCTGAAACTACAGGTCTGAAACCTATAGTCTGAAACTACAAGGGTCTCAATGACCTGCTTACACAGTATATATAATGCATAAAATAATCTAAGGCTGCAACTGCTTTCAATATTCATCAGCAAAATATCTTGTTATTCATAGACACACACACACACATACACATATATATTTATGACAAATGTCAGTGGGGCTGGAGAGATGGCTCAGCAATTAATAGTACAACTGTTCTTGCAGAAGACCTGGATTTGATTCCCAGCACACATACGACAGCTAACAACTATCTGTAACTCCAGTTCCAGGGGATCCAGCAGTCT